GTCGATCGACGTGAACCAATCGCCTTCCTGGACACATGACAGTACCCTTTTGTTTGTTAACATATGAAAGGGTCTTTTCATTATGAACTGGTTGAAATATGAGAGATCCAAGATTGGTCTCATAGCACCAGACTTTTTGGGATGAGTAAATACTGGGAAAAGAAACCCTTGTATTCCTCCCCCCTGGGAACATTGGAAATAACCTCCTTCGTTAGGAGGTTTTGAAGCTCTGCCTGAAAAGCGAGATCCTGTTGTAGGGACGACAACCGGGTCTCCAGGATCCCGTTGAACTGAGGGGGCGTGGTTGCGAACTGCAGCCTGTAACTCGATTTTATCAGGCGCTTCATCCATTTGTCAATGGGACAAAGTTGTTCCCAGATCGCGCTGCGCTCTGAGAGAGCTCGCGCATGCGCTGGTTGTTGAGCAGATGATGTGACAACCGCTACATCTAGAGCTTTTGCCGCTGTCACGGTCTCTCGTGTGACCCATGGGAGGCTGGGCTCGAAAGGGCTGTGCAGGAGCTCCAGGGAGCTCTGCCGGTAGTCTGTTAAAACGAGACCCGGAAGGAGCTGCCTCCGGACCCAAAAACAAGCCTGAAGTCACGCTAGCCCCAGTAGAGCCAAACACAGCATTCATCGCGCCGCTGTGATTGGTGGATCTGTGCTGGGCCGGGGCGGAAGTGACACACCCCTGGCTGTGACGTGACTCATACCGACTGTCCTCTCTCACGTCCGCTGAGCGCCAGTGGGCTGAAGAGAGAAGACTGCCCTAAGATGACTGTCCTCCTTTACATCTTACGGCTAACGGCGGCGCYAAAAAAGATGACTGCCTTCCTTCACGTCTGTCGCCAGCCGGCGGAACGAGAAAAAGGAAGTGTATGTGCTCGCTGGCCGCGAAGCGGCAGGGCGAGCCGCAGAGTGTGACACCATGGAAGAGGGAGGTGTTGTGTGGCTTTACTTGGTAAAACCCAAAGGCTGGCTAGACGCGAGGCTAGCGGGCCTAGCTTTACCCAGAGTGGGGGAAACATGTGAGAAACAGGCAGAAGCCTGAGGCCTGACTGAAGTGGACACCTGTGAGAGGAATTTGCCCTTTAGTAGATGTAAATTTTTATTCACACAAGCATCAAAAACAACAGTTTCTATTTGAAATGCTGTACGCTAGCAGGGCTATGTTGTGCCGGCGCCGGCCTGCGCCGCACACTGGTAGGACGGTCGGTCCAGTTGACAAGTTCCTTGTCCGTGACGCTGTGGGGGAAATGTTGCCGTCCAGCAGACAATACACCCTCGACGCCAAAGACCTCAGACAGCGCAGGCTCCAGTTCAGGGACCGGCGGAAACCGGAGCCGGTCATCCCCACCATCTCCGACACGTCCGCGTAGGACAAAACCGGCGCTCTCATCTTGGTGGGGTCGGAGTTAGCAGACGACAGGTAAGACTGGACCACTGGAAACTGTGGCCATATCGCCACCCAGCGACCGGCGTGTGGAGAAGCGAACTGGCCCGCCAGCTCATCCAMTGGGGGGGGCCAGACCCTCCGGAACTGTCCGTCCTCTGGCGTCCGCTGCTCGCTGGATGATGTCCGGGAGGACGCTCACGAGCTCCCCYATGGAAGGCAGTGGGGTGGTGGTGGATCGAGGAAGGGCCAGCTCCCTGGGCTCTTCCTGACTGCGGGTGCTCGACTCCAGCCCAGTCACCTGGGAGGGGTGGGTCTGTTCGCCGCTGTCATCCTCGGCCTCTGAAGCGGTGTCTTTTGACTCCGGTTCAAGGGAGATGATGTCGTCTACTGCCACAGACGCGAAGGCGTCGATGTCTTCTTCCAGCTCCGCGAAGAACTCAGCCCGCCATTGTCTTTCTTCTAATGGCAATCTTCCACAAGCTCGGCAGGCGATGTCCGTCGCCATACCCTGGTTGGTGTGGTCGGCGCCAAGGCACCCTTCACACACCACATGCGGGTCAGAGGCCAACATGTATCCAGTGCCGCAGGTGGGGCAAATCTTCATCTGACTGGGCATGGTGAAGTTCAAGGCGTAGTTAATAGCTCGGTAGCTAAAGAAAAAGAGGGAGGCGAGCTCCGGGCCGGCGGGCTTATATACGTCCCGGAGGTGGGGCCCCACTGTACGGGGGCGTAGACTATTGGTTTATTCAGAATACGCGCGAGGCGCGGAGGGATAACCATCAGCGATAGCCTTAGAGGGCGGAGCTTACACGAAATAGAACAGGTCAGGACTGCCAGCTGTCTCATAGATATGACATCACATATGCGACTTAAAGGGGCACACCAATATTACAGTGCCACCTGCTGGACACTTTGAAACCCACTTGGGACATGAAAGAGAAATAATGGTGATTTGATATGTTAAAAGAAAAAAAATCTTGTATCCACATCGTGACCCGGAACATCACCAAAATTTAACGTTGTGTTCCTTGGCCCAGTACGCACATGTGGTAAAAATGTCATGACAATCCGTCCTCAAGTTTTTGAGTAATGTTGTCCACAGGCAGACCGACAGAATGACAGAACGAAAGACAGACGGACAGATATACGTGACCGAAAACATTACCTCGCCCTTGGCGGAGGTAATTGCAGTGAAGAGAAGAAGAATAGGACCTTTAACAGGAAAGGACAACATGAAATATTGATCAACACAAATTAAATTTTTGTCAGTTATGTCTTGTTGAATCGTGGTTTGTGAGTAGCTAAGGCTTCAGTCCACAACTTCCTGCAGGCTTGAGGTGACGGGCCGAACCCGAGTTTCTGAGTCCAGTCTGTCTTTGTAGGAAGGGAACTCCAGGCACATCTGCCACACACTTCATTAGCTTTCTGGCATAGTCTGGAATGACAGGACAATAAAAACAGATTTGTCAATGTATGTAGGAGAAATTAAAAACATKCTAAACCTAAAAATGTGAGTGATTGGTTGCCTAAAGATTAGATCTGAAAGCATGTTACAAGTGATTTTCTCACATTACGTAAATGTAATTTATGCAGAAGAATTTCACATCTTAAAATTGGTGTCCATCTTATTCTAGGCGCAGCAAATATGTGTATGAGCTCAGGCTGATGATGATACAAACCTTTGATTTTTGCAGAAGCGATCTCACCATATTATACAGTAAATACTGTATATCTTCTGTATCTCTCCCTCACCATCGCTTCGCCTGTGACCTCTGATACATGATCCTCATTCGTCCCAGTGACAATTCAGGACATCACAGAACTGTTGGGTCAAATGAAAACGTCCTCTAGCCCCCTTAATGTCCTGCCTTCATCTCTTTTTAAAGATATTTTTAACTGTATTGGACCAAATGTTGTAAAGCTGATAAATTACACCCTTGGTTCTGGTTCTGTACCCCACTGCTTCAAAACAGCTGTTTTCTAACCTCTGCTAAAAATGCCTAATAGCCTATATGCCACGGACATACGGCCCAGCACTTGATGCCACTCCCAACACTTCCGGTTCACGGTCAACACTGTGTTAGCGAAAGATTTTTTCACCCGACAACGACTCTTAATGATCTCCACAGTACAAAATTAGCATATTACATGTACCAACATTAACACAGGAGACGTACAGGTCCAACCAAGTGGGAAAAAATCACTCCAAATGGATTAAAGCCATAAAAACAAAGGAAAGACGTTTGTGTTTATGGTTCCAGAATTTAGCCTTTTTCGCTATTCCTTGGCTGCTTGTTCTGTTAATTTTTCACATAGAGCTGTGACACATATATTGTTGGAAAGAGCAGAGTCTGGGCTTTAAATTGATGGGCTATTTTTATGGTTTGGATCGTTTTCCCCGACGTTAGTGAACTGAAAACGTAATGATTTTCAGGCGGAGGTTCTGCTGCTCTCGGTGACGGGGGCGCGCTCGTCGCTCGGGTTTAGTCTACGCTGTAATATACACTCTAACAAGGTTTTACTTTTGCATAAAACTCATGACAAAGTCGCATAAAAACATTTCATATAACACAAACGCGCGCGCACACACACACCTACCTTTGTACCGGCTGCTGTGTTAGCTTCCTGCTAGCTGTCGTGTGGAAGTGATCTTTCCTCTCTCGTCTTGGCAGTAAAAGGGGATAAATGTACATTTCCCTTTTGTAACCTCCGTCTTCTCATTTCTGATGCTGGCTCTTGAATATCCTCAGGTTAGAAATGCTGATTACAAACACAAGCGTGAGCTTTTAAAGATAAGTTTTCCCTGTAATGCTATGATCCACTGCTGTCACCTCCTCATCAAGAGGAAAAAGGATAAAAACTAACTACTCTATTGTACCTGCTGGTTAGTGGACACAACGGCACACAACAGAACTCATGTTTTACACCAGTAGATCACAGATGCTTTAACTTTTGTGACTTTTTCACAGACTAGTACTAGCAGCTAACGCTAAAAGCATAGGCAGTAAGCAGGGAGTGGAAGGGAGGAGCYTGGCAAGAATTTCACCGGAAATACGTCATTAATGACCGTGGCATATAGGCTATTTCGACTCTTCTCTGCCTGAAACCTACAGACCGATCTCCAAACTACCATTCTTATCAAAAATTCTTGAGAAAATTTATTTGTCTTTTTGTGTCTTTATAAAATTTAATGGGATTCATTCTAAGTAAAATAACTCCAAATGCTGGGTACAATTTATTGAGATTGATTAACAACAAATCATTGATTTATCAAGGTTATTCTTCCTTTTGCCTTTAAAAAATTAAAAGTGAGTGGTGCTTCGAGGTAGTATTACTTAGTATTAGTATTACTTAGTAGTTAATACTTTAATAATTCTTATTTTACACGAACCCTAGCCCTACATGATAAACATTCAAATAACAATGGGCCTTTGCAGCTCTTTTGCTGCTCGGACCTAACTAGTCTCCAAAAGTTGCAGCCCGTTGAGATACTACTTTAGGCTTCACAGATCTGATAAGTGTAATTGCAGCTACTGTTCTCCAGATGTTTTGTTCACACCTTGATCCGAACTGTAAGCCATTATAAAATACCATCTGTCTTTCAGGATTCGTCCCACTTGAAGGACTTGTGGAAGAAAATGTGCCATAACAACACAGGGATGGAGTTTCAGGACCACAGATACTGGCTGAGGACCTACCCAAACTGCATTGTGGGAAAGGAGCTTGTTAACTGGCTGCTGAGGAATGGTACCGTCTCCTCCAGGTATTCATTTTTCATTGTTCTTGTTGTACAGTGTGTTCTGGTGAGGTAGAACAGTGAGTCAGTGTCTCTTTTGGCATTGGAAACCAATTGTAAGGATAGAGGGAAAATGAGTTCATAATTTATTCAAGTTAAATAAGTCATCACTTTTTAATACAACCTCACGTTAAAAGCCCAATAGATACACTTACTTTACTCCAGAGAACCTTATTTTGTCATGCATTTTGAATTATTTACCCCCCCCCCCACTCCAAAATAAAAATAAATAAATAAATACCAAAACAAATAATAGAAATTGGCTGTGTGGTTTCTCTTTTTTCCTTTATTTTTATTTTTATTTTTTTCAATGTTTGTTCACTGCAGGGCACAGGCTATAGCAATTGGCCAGGCGTTAGTGGACGGTCGCTGGCTTGACTGTCTCACTCACCATGACCAGCTGTTCAGGGATGAGTACGCTCTTTATCGCCCTCTTCAGGTTAGTGTTTTCTGCTGCACAGACAAGTGCAGCACATTGACATGGTACAGGTTGATTTTCATTGCTTTGGGTTATCAGAGGGTTTGTTTTATTAGGAAGTTTTGGTGAGATGATGTGCAGAAGTTGATTCCTCTCTGTCTTCAGAGCACAGAATTTTCAGAAACACCGTCTCCAGACAGTGACAGCATCAACTCCATTGAGGGACACTCTGAGCCGTCTTGGTTCAAGGACATCAAGTTTGATGACAGTGATACAGAGCAGCTTGCAGAAGAGTCTGACTACACTATGCCTAGTATGCATCCTATATCCAACATTAAATGTTGTCTTCACCAGTGTCATAAGCACCGGAATCCTCAAACGAAACTTTGTCTTTTTCAGACACTGCTAGCCCCAGTAAGAAGACATCAGTCAGCAGCTTCCAATCTGTGATGGACAGTGACTCTGCTGCCTCCATCAACCTCAACATGGAGCAGGACAATGTGAACTTTCACATCAGGAAGCAGTCCAAGTACCCACATGTGCCATCCTCGGAGCACAAAGGTACATATGACCACATGTTGTACAAAGAGGAACTACYTAAATCTGCCAGGATCCACGTACAGGGGTTAGACGATCAACTGAAACACCTGTCATTTTAGTGTGGGAGGTTTCATGGATAAATTGGACCAGCCTGGTGGTCAATCTTCATTAACTGCACATTGCACCAGTAAGAGCAGAGTGTGAAGGTTCAATTAGCAGGGTAAGAGCACAGTTTGGCTCAAAATATTGCAATGTGCACAACATTATGGGTGACATACCAGAGTTCAAAAGAGGACAAATTGTTGGTGCACGTCTTGCTGGAGCATCTGTGACCAAGACAGCAAGTCTTTGAGATGTATCAAGAGCCACAGTATCCAGGGTAATGTCAGCATACCACCAAGAAGGACCAACCACATCCAACAG